GAGAAAGGCTACTGACTTGAATGCCTGCATTTTTCTCCAGTTACACAGTTTATTCTCAAATCAGTGGAGGCAAACTATGGGATCAGGTGGCAGGGTTTTGTCCTGTTTCTATTTCAAAGACAAGATGGTAATTGTGAGCCTGGAGATACTTTCCAGATAGATCTTCACCTGATCTAATTTACATGAACTTAACGATGTTTTACATAAAATTACTGTTTTTATAATTATATCTTTTAGCAAGAGACATTACTCTTTTAGGAGGTAAAACTAAACCTTAGTAAGTACTAAGTGTATTAATACTTCTCAGTCCCTTGGATATCTAAGCTATTGTTGGGGATGATCATAACATTAAGGGTAGAATAATTGGATGAAAATTACATTGTTGTGTGGTCCCTTTTTTAAAAAAAAATTCTTAATATTTTCTGTGAAACAATAACATGTTCAGTTCTTCTGCTATATAAGCAAGCAACAGTACTTTATAATGTGTTCAATTTCTTTCCCTTTCATGGAATATAAAACTGTAGATTTTAAAAGTAGTATGATAAATGTATGTGGCAGACTTGTACAAGCTTGTAAGAATTAATTGCTTGTTGTCTAACTGCAAATCCAGAAATTGTTAAAAAAGATTAGGGTTTTTTTTTAATGGCATAAAATTCAGTAGAAAATATTCATGAAAAAAAGTAATGTACTTGTCAGGATAGTCATTTTTGTATTAGGATATAAATTGGATAAGGCCAAGTTTAGGACTTATTTGTTCCTGAATAAATTCTTAACAATGTATAATCTAGATGTTTCCGTGTGTGGTTAAAAACTCCTTCCAAATACTTTTAACAAGCTTACAAATCAGATAAGTATATAATGGTGATTTTTTTAACAGGAATAAAACAAAAATCATATACAATAAAATACCTGTGTGGATTGTTAAGTTTAGGTTTCTTAAATATGATATTCTTTTCAGTAAGGCTCTTTCTCTATTAAAAAAGGTTTTAAGAATAGTCTGAAAAAGTTGTGAAGCTCTGTGTCCTGGCCAACCAGTTTATGGGAAATGGTTTCATATTTGCCATATTCTGGTTTTCACCATCTTTGATCTTTCTTTAACACTTTCACCATCGACCCCTTCGGCTCTGTTGGGTGTTCTCCCTCCCCTCTTCTCTTGGTTTGGTGCTGTGACTCAGGACGGCTCCCTGATTGCTGCTTTTCTGTTAAAGGATCTCCCTGTCTACACTTGCAATGTGTTGCTACCTGGCATTCCTTAAATATATGATGAAACCATGTCTGTTACCCCCTCCCTGAAATCTCCATAGTTTATATGCTTATGCCTTATCTGCTACTAGCATGGCAAACTCAGAAGCCTACTTGGACAAGTGATATAAATAATAATAATAATAAAAGTATTTTTAAAAAGCAGTCTAGACAATAGATACTGATTTTTTTTTAAGATTTATTTATTTGTGCATACAGAACTGGGGTACAGGCCAGAGGCTCAGGGGCGGTGAGAGGCTTCACTAGAGACAGAGTGGGGAACAGAACATGCAGATCGACGAAGTACACTGCTGAGGGGAGCGGCCGGCGGATTAGGAGAGGTCTACCACGCCATGTGGTCACCTCTGGGGCAGGTGGGAATCAAACTCATGCAGAAGCAGCTTTAGATTCTCAGTGCTGTGCTTTAACCCACTGCACCACCAGGGCGGGCCCAATAGATACTGAATTTTAACGAATGCATGGCCCAACCTCAGTTGCTATGGAGGAATGCTTCATTCTTTATTCACCACACACTGCTGCCATGTTTACTTTGTGCCCAGCATGTAGGTGTTAGCAATAAAGCTGTAAATTAGAAAAATATACCTCCTCTCCTGAGCTGCCACCAGTCTGGAGATCTGTATCTTAAGAGAGTCCTATTAAAACTAGTGATATTTCTATGATAGGGTCTCCGATTTTTTTTTTTTTTTAAGCCAGGAATCCAGATGTGTGTGTAAAATTTTACTTTTTATTGACTTTATTCAGGTAGCACCTGCTAAAATTGTGCTTACCTGTTTGCAACATTGCCCAGCAAATAATAGTCTAGCGTTTGACATCTGCTCACCTACAACTATTTTTCCAGCTTGATCCCATCTACTCCTTTGTTTCCATCCTCTATTCACAATTGACTGCGCCTGGTGCCTTCTTTCTTCTATTACATTTTAAGTATTGTGCTTCGCGCTAGAATGCTTTTCCACTTCCCCCTTCCACCCCTGGTCAGTCAGTGCTCATTGACAGCCCAAATGTTTCTGGTAAGATGACTCTAATCTCACTGTATAGAATTACTGTCACTATGCCAATACTCCACAGAGTGTCCTGCGTATTCTCAATAGAGCACTCGCCCAAGTGGACTCCAAGCTCAAAGAAACTATAGTTTCATCTTTGTAGTTTGAGAATCTAGCACAGCACTTTGCATCAAGTTAGTGTTTCAGAAATGCGTGTAGAATGACTGACCAGACCTGAAATCTGGCTCTCTTCAAATTTGCAGTGGTGATAACCTACATCACATAGGCTTAGTTCCCAGGCACAGCACCACAGACACTTGATGAATGGACGCTTTGTTTCACAAGTAAACAATCTTGATATGAAAAGTACCCTTTGATTTAAAGTGGTGCTAACCAGCTTCTGTACCGGGCACATCTGAAGTAACTTCTTAGGTGGCTCTATGGCTTCCTACTACCCTGGGCCCCACCCCACACACACCCTCAGAGCTGCTGGGATGGTGAAACTGGCTGGCTGATGCCGCTGCCGTTTCTGACAACCCACGCTTGTTACAAGATGTGGCAGAACGACACTCTCTCTTATATCTGAATTTTCTTCTTGATTGATTTCTACGGTTATGTTAAATGGTGTCTGTGGGGGTGGGGCAAGAATGCAAGAGGCGGGTGGGGGGAGGCTTTCTTGACTGGCAGCTTTGGGCCAGCAATGTTGCAGGCATGGCACCCGCGCCTTCCCGGTTTTGCTTAGTTCCCAAGCACAGCACCAAGTTGGGTGAGTTGGGTGGCATTTTGCTCAATGTAAGGGTGAGTGGATTGTTAAGTTTAGGTTTCTTAAATATGATATTCTTTTCAGTAAGGCTCTTTCTCTATTAAAAAAGGTTTTAAGAATAGTCTGAAAAAGTT